AAAAAAATAATAATAATAAAAAAAAAAAAATTGAAATTTCGAGAAAAAGAAATTGCCACAAATAGTAAGCGATGATGAGATCATCAAAATTCGTTAATCTATCTCATGTCCTAATTTACAGAAAAGGTCAGAGCTTTCCACATGAATTACATCTGATTGTCATAAATACTGAGGGAATCCCGAGGAGCCGCCGAGGGGCAAAAATGGAAAAAAAAAAACCAATTGATTCAAAGAGAGATCAAACAAAAAAGTACCTGAGAAGGTTGTGCAGACCTGCAATGGCTTCCTCGTACGCTTCTTCTGCCATTTTCCTCTCACTGCAACACCACCACCACCACATTTTTTTATTTTTTTTTTATTATTATTATTATTATTGGTCAACAAATAAATAAATTCAAAATTGATTGCAAATTAATTAATTAATTAATTACGTGATCAATCATCAATTCATCATATATGTATAATAAATCGAATGAAATTAAATTGTGTCAACAAAATATTGATGTTTCCTTGTTTTTTGATGAAATAAAAAATTAAATAATTCAAAAAGGAAAATGGAGAATTTTAATTTTTTTATTATGAAAAAATAAATAAATAAAAAAAAAATTGGGATTATGAAATTCTGACCTTTTTTTGAAGAAGATGGCCTTCGAAGCTGCTTTTGGAATAATCCAAAAGTTTAATTAAGAGAGATGGAGGTTATGTGTAATAATAATTCGGGAAATGATGTCCTAAAGGGAAGGCCCAGTTTCTTCTTAAATACTAGCAGCGATGTTAAATCAACTAACCATGGTTAACAAAATGAATCCGATGGATAACGACCACGGTTAGTGCTGTACCAATCAGCTAAATACTAGTAGTATCAATTATTCTAATTTTAGGGAAACGTTAGAGCGATCTCCAATGGAAAATTGTCGGTGGACCTCGTTCAGGCAATACGAGAATTACGAGATCGCGAATGGTCGGTGGACCTTGTTTATGTATTTCAGGAAGCGAATTTTGCTGCGGATCACCTGGCTTCCTTAGCAGCGTCTGAATCCCTTGAGGTGCACCGTCTGTCCGTCCCACGCCCACCTCTGTCCATAGGTAGGTGGCTTGAACATGATATTATTGGGGTAGTTTATCCCCGTCGTGTTTTGTCTTAGAATTTGTTAAGCTTCGACCTCCCCTTATTGTACCGAAAAAAGAAAGTTGTCCATTTTGCGTTGTATGACATAGATAATGAAAACTAAAAAATTTTGTCTCCTATAATTAATTTTGTTGTGGTATCATTTGTGATGTGTAACATTTTAATTGGTTGAAAAAAAATAAATAAATTAAATAAATACTCTAATATACAATAGAAATTGTCTAGAAAAGTTTCTACATCTAGAAATCATTTCAGAATTTTTTCAAACCACATAAGATTATTTGAGTCATGTGGCAACAAAATAGAGTAGAAAGATTATTGGAGATGCTCTTACGCTCGGTTACGAAACCATTCCGTCGAATTTGTAACCGTTAAATTATTTATCCCCGACAGTTGATAGATAATTTAACAGTTACAAATCTGATGAAATAGTTACGTAACGAGACCATAGCATCTCCTTAATTTTAATATATGTGATTCTTTTAGAAAACATGAATGTCCACAGGTCTACGGTGTGAATGGATTGACAAAAAGGAAGGGAGTGTGTGGGGAGGTGGGCCGTGGACCCAAACGGCCTTTCGATTCCTTTTTCTTTTTCCTTTTCTTTTATGTAGTGTGTAAGAAAAATATAGCTTTGGTTTCCATATGACATGGTCAAAGAATAATGGAGGAAATCTACTATTTCTTTAGCCGGTTTTGCTATAGAGTCGTTGGATGGCTCGACTTATGCAGTCATCTATAGTTATTCACAAACAGTGTATTGACACGTATCCTGCAATAATTACACATTAGACACGTGTCAATACATAAATATATAGATGGCTCCATAAGAGAACCATTCGATGGCTCCATAGCATTTCTGTTTCTTTAGCATATATTTGCTATTTTTTTATGGATACTCAAATAATAACACATAATTACATGAACTGAGAGTAATTAAAAAGTCGGACTTCTACCGTATACTCGACAATAATACGGTTACAAATATTTTTAACTGGGCTACACAATATTGAAAACGTAGAAAGACCACTAAAATATTATATTCGAACAACAATAGAAGCCGAATCAAGTCAAAGCATATCGAAATAAAGTTTCTACTTATAAAAGAAAGAAGACACAATGGACAAATTTGTATAGAACATATCGGAACATACTCAATTGATTATAGATTCGATTACCAAACATCTAACACCAAGGTCTTTCTTTCATTAACATATGTTTGGAATGGGTGTGACATGTTTTCATAATTATTTTGTTTTAGAGAAAGTCTGTATTAATTTTGTTGTTCTAAATACATATTGTATTTATGTGTTGGATATTTATGTTCAAATATAAAGTATTCAGCTTATTATACTCTGCAGTTTTAGTTTTATATTGATCGCATAAAGGAATAAAATGGTCAGTTGAAAAAGACATGAAAGATTACATTACATGTAATTTTCATGTTACCTTTCATGATTGATTTATTCATTTAATTGCATCGGTATATGTGATTATCGACAAAGTTGATTCATGCTTAACATGATGAAAACCTCTTTATTAGTTCTATGTCGTTACGATTAATGGACGAGATTGTAAATGATACTCTTGTATATGATAACAAATTTTGAGCTCATAAAGCAATACACATTTGTTCGGTTGCATATGTAGTTCAAGTAGGAGATTGTTTGAATTATTTTATTTAGACAATATATGTGGTCATAAAATAATTCAATAAAGGTGATATACTGAATTATAATTTTGACCAAAGAGAGTCAAATTATTATGGATTTAAAAGTGTAGATACTATTTTGAAATTTTTAGTTTGTTGTTGGCCAAAAAAGAAAATTAAAAGAATTAATTACCTGGTAATGGGCCCAAGCGACAAAATGAAAAAACAAATTTTGTGAATATTTGCATTTTCCCTTAAAAGCCACCCCAATGCAGTACTAGTTGAAGAACAAAAGAGTTCACAAATAATGAATTCAAATACGTTTTTATTTTTATTTTTATTTTTTTCTGTACAATAAAAGGAGGCCTAAGCCTAACAGACGATAACACAAAATGCGACGGGGGTAAGTCATTCCAATAATATCATATTCAAGCCACCTGTCTATAGACAACGGTGGGACGTGAAGAAGGTGCACCCTTAAGGGTTTGGACGCCGTTAGAAGTCAAATGATCCGCAGTGAAATTCGCTTCCTCAAACACATGATGATCTAATTTGTTTCAATTGTTGATTCTTAATTATTTAACACAAATAATTTTGAGACTGAATTAATTTTATTTGGGGATTATATTTTAACAGGGCACTTGTATATATTTTTTAATGTGATTTTCTCATATTTTAAATGAGATCAGATTTTAGATTCCCTTTTGGTTTCTTCAATATCACAGGTCACGCTTAAGGATAAATAAATAATTAATCTTGTGGATTACAACGTCAATGTCCCCTGTTATGCGAGCGTGATTTGTCAGAACTCACAGCATAATTAAAGCCAATAATCTACGATTTGATTCTTATCTGAATGAGTTATTTAGGAGAAACAAACGCGATATTTTTGACTGACTATAGTATTTAAATGACTTGGGTGCTATTTTTACTGTCCAAAGCGCTTGGATGAGATGGCTTGGGTCTCTTCCAGCTTAATCAGAGGTCTCGAGTTCGAACCCTGGGAATGCAGCAGTGTTAAAACTCTTGAAGGAGAGCTTTGCCGCCCTTGTGGTCCTACCCGGCTCGATTCCGGATTAGTCGGTTCCCCTGTGAATCCGGAAACCGGAAGGTTTCTGTACCAAAAAAAAAAAAAAAATTGCTATTTTTACTGCCATGACATATATAACTTGTGTGTCTGTGCATATATATATTGTAGGAAAATGTTATGGTCCTGTTATGATATCATTCCGTCGGGTGTTTTAACCGTTGAATCATCTCTTTTATCTAACACATGTGAATTCAACGGTTAAAATACCCGTCGAGATGGTAACGTAACAGAACCGTAGTATATCCCTATATTGTATATACATGTAACATGAAAGAGAAATCATAAATGTATAATGTATAAATTCAATCAGTTAATGTAAATTGATCCTAATATATGAATATGATTTGATGTTAGTTTTATATTTATCTATTTCTCACAGTGACTGAAAATTTTATTAGTATTCAAATATTTTATTACAAAGTTCATAAAAAATAATCATTTTTAATTCTTTTATTTTAGTACTTAATTTATTACTCATTATTTATTAATTTTAATGTATCTTCCAAGCTAATAAGGTTCAACAAATTAATATCCGTTATTTTATTTTTATACTGTTGCGCTCCATCTATTTAGTTTTTGTTGGAATTATGGTATTTCTGAAGCAAGTGAAGTGAAGCAGTGCAAAGGAGTGCATGGATTATATCTTTCTGCATCTGTTCTTTACTTCTTTTTTTTTTTTAAAGTCGCACAACACTTGTAAACTCGCGTTTGTCGCATTTTATCTTTCTTTTCTTTTCTGCATTTATTTGGCACGTGCCCCCACTTTGCTGGTGCACGTGTATGCTTTGTACTGGCCATTAATTATGGCTAAGCATGAGATTATCGTCCTCGTGTGAGATCTGAATTGTGTGTGGGACATTTTACAGAGCTTCAAGCTCAGAGCAAAAATGGCGATTTGATATCTCTTGCTTTTGTGTGTGATTTTTACCTATAAACTATATTTTAGCCACTTTCTACATGGTATCTAGAGCGGGTCAGTAAATCCTAATGGCGCACGTCGATGAACAAGGTCGAGAGATCATTGGCGGGCACACATACACTCGCGACATAGATCCTCTTTCCCTTCATGGATCAGATCATCCTGGGTTGGTGTTGGTCACTAATCTACTCACCAGTGGAAATTATCTACACTGGAGTCATGCTATGAAGCTCGCACTGGGAGCTAAATCCAAGCTCAGCTTTATCGATGGATCTGTTGTCATTCCAGAGCAAGGATCAGAAGAATTTGCTCAATACAGAAAGGTACAGTCTATGGTTATCTCTTGGATGCTTAACTCAATTTCTAAGGATATCGTAGAAGCATTCATTTATGCTAAAAGTGCAAAGCAACTGTTGTGTACAAATTTTAATTTTTACCGAGTACCGAATCGAAAAATTCGTTCCCCGGGTCGATCTCACGAGGAAGGCGGTTCGGAATTTAGAAATGATATTGATCACACAAAAACAAAAGAAATCCTAAACACACTAATC